GAAATTTATTGATATACTACTCTACGGTATGAACCACAGCAACATTCAAAACATGTTAAAATACTTGTTAATACCCTACATTGTAAAACATCTTGTCTTCGTCACGTTTGCCGCGAACTGCCATAACCAAATATATATATACACTCTCTCAATACTAGCGTACTCTATATTTGGTCAAGACATTACATAAAGGTGGTGACATCGGCTCCAATTAAACTTCAAACAAATGATAGAATTGTTCCTATTTCAGCATTTATGTAATTAGTAAGTAATTGGAAACGGTAACAATATTCATCAGGATGAGATATGGAGTTGATAGGAAAGAAGAGTTAAAGTGACAAAATAGGAAGGAAGTGGGTATTTCTCCAGTCCCCTTACAGATGAGATTTTGATTTTATATTCAAATAAGAAATGCCTATGATTACATTCCTGGTTGTTTTAGAAATATAGCACAATCCAAACAAACGACACTGTCTACAAAATAGGGTGAGCTCAGATAACTATGGAATATATGGGCACATTCTTTTACATGTTCACAGGTAAGAGCCTTGCAGAGAGAAAACGTGTACGGACAGGTAATGTTAATCGTTGGGAAGGTATTTATGACAGTTACTTGGTCGTGGTTGAACTCAAAAACGTTAATCTTGAAATAGGTCCCAGGCAATAGCGTGCCCATATGTTGAACTTCCCCGTACACTGCTATGGTGACCAGCACAACACCGTCCCCACTATGGCCGACATATTTGATTGGACAATAAACTCAATATGACATAATATTTGAAACGTCAATAACAACGAGTGACTGAACCCTGGTGCATTCATTGAGAAAATAGATTTATGCCTTGCAAAAATTTGGCTACATGTCAAAAGACGACCCATGCAAAGTTAGCAAAAAGGTGTGTCCGGTGTCCACTTCTAAGAAGAAGGGATTCCCATGACGTGGTGAATACATTTAACAGGATTTATTGTCCTTACAGGAATAAAAGTTACGAAACTTTTGCATTTAATTTGAATTTATAAATAGATGTCTGTAATTTTCAATAAACCTAGACCGTGTACGAGTAAAAGGAAGACTATAGCTTTTTATAGAGCATATTCATATACCCAACTCTTAAGAGAAATAAAAATGATTTGCAAAGACTGGCGTTCGTCTTTCAAATGATATTATCTTACTTTCAAATCTACACAGTATCCACTGAATCTATCAAGGTATTATCCATATCCATTTATTGGCTTGCTGGAGTGTCTCCTCTTCGTGAAGCAATTCGCTGCAAAGGAAAAGATACCACCAGCTGTGTTCACAGAATTGTTACCCATGCGAGCACACAATGGTATCTTCTCCTGCACAGGATCAGTTGCCAGATGTCAGGGATTTCGACTTCTGCAAAGGTGTCTGGGACTTCGACTTGGTGAAGTATCGACACAAACGTGGTATGGGCAGCAGGGTAAGGGACTTAAAGAAGTTTGTGATTTGATCAGTGACTGATAATATCTGTAACGAATCATGAACACTTAGCTTAAGATGATTGGTGACTGGTGATGATGTGATGATGTGATGATTAAATGATTTTGTTGTGATAAGCCCAAATGATAAGATGGTGTCTTTGATTTCCTTCGATTTGTTCACTACATTTGTAATCATATATTTACACCAAACGAAATATAGATAATTAAGTTAACTCGTTGTGATAATTTTTGTTGTTGTTTCCATTTTCCCAATGAACAGTTAATAACGATAAATACATTTAAATGATTGTGATGTCCAACTGTTTTTGATCAGCTGACTTGGGTTTTTACCTTACCTCGCATTTAACAAATGAAGTGTCTCCACATCAGAAACCCGGTGACAACAAATATACCTGTGCCTTGAGGGAATACATACGATGCTCAAGAATCAGTGTCCCACACAACAAATGTTGGGTGGTGGCAAACACATACAAAACAGGCTATGTCCCCTTCAGCATCGACAGTAACACGTAGCTTAAACATTTCACGACTTGACCACAATGAGAAGTTTAATGTATGACTGGTATGTATATAAAGACTATGTGTAATATATGGTTTTACCAGGACACGAAAAGTAACGTAATGAATACACCTTGCGCCAGTGATACAGACTGTATAAAAAATGTAATATGATAAGAAAAAACACTAAGTTTTAACATTCGTTTACATGTTGTAAGTTTGGTGAAAATTCCCATTAGTATTTTCGATTCTTGACAATTTTATTTTAATTCAAACCGATGTTATGAAAATAGAAACTAAAATGCTGTCATCTGTATGCCAAACAATCATCACGGATAAATACACAAAATGTATGCGTTGCGATGTTCTGTCAGTCTCGAGGAATTACTTTATAAATAGTTAAATAGGTGTATACAACTTACCAAGAAGATAATATATACACGACAACATTATAAAACTCTCACTGTATTTCTCAAACTGTTTGATACCTTACTGATGTTATTCGTCTTATTTCAATTTTTCAATGCACAAGGTAAAAAAATCAGTGATATTTTTACACTATCAAAAAACAGTAGAACGTACCTTATTGTTGTTCCCATAAAAAAGTTCTTTTGACAAGGAAATAATAATACTTCTGACATGTTTTCCTCCGGAAAAATGAAATTCACTATTCGTCTGGTTAAAATGTTTTTGATATAATTGTCCTATCTAATTCATACTCACGGCCGTAGTTTCCCTATACCGCCCTCTAAATAGAGCTGACGCAAGACTAGTTAAGTACGCCTACTTAAACAGTATATATAACCCCTGTATGTGTTACAGATGTAAGGACCAAGCTCATATTATGTAGATCACTGTATGCACCTACACATAAAACCAACGAGGTCTCGTAAATAAGATCCTATAATTCTTACTTAAATCAGAAAAACAAACTACCTAAGTATTCATTATACGATCATTTTCGGCTGATATTTTATAAATTGAACTATACTTCTATATATATTTTAAGTTATAAACATTTATAGCATTGCTTGTTAGTTTATAAAGATAAGATTGTCTTCATAATCGCGATTTAGCAATAAATCTACATATTTGCATTTTTTACAAAATTTCATTTCCAAATTTTCAAACTGAAAGAATTTCTCTCAAATGCAATTTACAATATTATTTTCAGTTTAAGACTTTTTAAAAACTGTTATCAACACTTAACTCATAGTAATGTTTATACAATATACATCTACATAACATTTATCAAGGAAATGAGGGCATTCATGTGATAACTTCTGGGTACTGATAGCACACGTCATGTGATCAGTCATGTGATCAAAGTTCAAAATCGAACTGGAAAGCCTGGTTTGAAGGTATATAATATTAAAGGTTAATCTAGTTTATTCCTACTTGTTATTCAGTTTTCATGGTGGTGATCATCATATCATTTGAATATCAATGATCTAGAATATGTTTAACTTAAATTTATTCAGCAGTTTTCTACTGTTTTTCCAGATACATATTACTTGCAGTGAGTTTTGTCATGTATTGAGTTAGCAAACTGTTATTTTTGTTTAGTTTGACCTTTTTTAACTGATATGACAACCCTTCGTTTATCTATGTCCTTTATGCATAAGGCCGAACAAATTAGTTTGTTTGTTTCCAGCTATTGTACCTGATCTGATTTTTTGTGCCTACCATAAACTTAACTGTTTTTGGCAATATTCAAGGGAGCAATGTCAAACGTTCTCTCTTATGTAAACCTTATAATATGAAAAAAAAGTAAAATATGATTTACTACCTACCTACCGTAATTTGTTTAGACATGAAACAGGAAATAAATATTGTTTTTGTTTGGTTTAAGCAGAATTTTCTATGAAAAATCATAAAAAAAGAAAAACCAACTTTTACTAACACAAAGGATAAATGGATGCCATTCATTCATGCACTCATACAATAAATTTGCTGAAGTTATCTAACTAACATACAGTGAGGTTACATGCAAGTTATACATACAACATCAACTAGGTTAATCAAACAACAAGGAACATTGTTTTAGTTAGAATATTGGTCGTAATAACCAGTTTAACTCATATCTAATTGATAACAATAGAGAATTTAATGAACATGAAAAAACGTCTGGTTCCTTGTTGATAGAACTACATGTACTCATAGACATGGTGGCCTGACTGCCTGGGTATACCGTACGTTATTAGTGTACTAGATACATGGGGTAGATAACCCCAACATTACAAGGAAGAACTTTTACAACAAAAATGTCCATGACTTATTTGTTTCTAAATTGCACAAACAAAAATAATAAGGAAGTTTTTCATTATTTTTTTTAAAAATATTGTCATACTTTTTATTTTGATACATTTCGCCAACTTTGCACAAAAAAACCTGTGCACAATCTGGATCAGAATCAAGAGATTAAATGCACCATAAACAGGTTTAATTCTCATTGCAATTATTTCATCAATACCTATCTTTAAATTTTAAAACCATTTTGTTTCAGGTCCAGAACATAATCACCATGGAAACAGATAAGTAATGGACATTGCTAACTAATGGTCAATTAACATAAGAGGCGGCAAAATCACTTTTACTGCAGTTTATAAACTTAAGGATATTTAAGGACATGTTTATGACTCCACATTATAGAAAACTGATTCATTGATGCAGTCATTATGTGATATGCCCCATCCTACATATATAAACATGATATAGCTATTCATTACTGGTCAATCTAATAGTGCCCGACAAAAATAGAACCTTGATCACAACTGATAATCAAAACAACCGATAACGAAACAGTGATTTCAAAATGTGTATTGGACAACACAGTTTATACCTAAATGTTAATGACTTGAGTAATATTTCAAAATGATTGTTTTAAACATTTCAATGTAATTATGGGACAAATTATTTATTTTTGTGGCACAAGATTAAGTTGACCAGACGAGAAATAGCTGTATCTGAGAGTTAAACACATGGGGGAAATCCTGGCTTAGAAAATGAAATTTGCAGTGCAAACGACGACTTACAATCGGGAGGAATCTGGACCAGTTTCGTCTCCTTCAATTTTGTACACTTTGCCATACATGACGTATTCAAAGCTGTCGGCCCGGGACGGTCCGGTGTCAAGGGGGTTGAACTCTCCATCGTCTGGGGATCCGTCTTCTCTTAATGTTGTGGCCAGCACCATACGGAACTTGTCACCTACAGAACAAAGAATGGACATTGCTGAATCATTAGAATGCCAGAACATTCACAGTAGCAGAATTAGAAATAAAATTGACGATGTACAGAATTCTAATACAGATTAGCCATGGTAACAGTCAATTGGGACAGAAACCAAATAATAATAGTTTTATTAATAGGTGATTCTACACTTGATAAATTCAGTGCCTATTGAATGATTATTGCTTTCTGGTGGATAGGATGGGGGTGAAATATACATTCTTGTTGGTGGTGGTAGGGGGTGCATCTCTTTTGTTTGGTGGAAATGGGATGGGGCCTTAATTAAATAAGGGAACAGAGTGCAAGTGAGCATCTGTTTTTGCAAATTTTTTTCTAAAATGTTTTCTTTAACCATTTTTTTTTTAAATAGTCAGAATGCCTTTTTAGAAATTTCTAAATTATTGAATCCAGATGAGTTATTTATCACGACAATAAAGGATACATTGCAGTAAAAATATACGAAGATTTGTTACAAATACCTTAACATTCAATACAGTTATCTGAGTTTTTTATGAGTCATATAGTTCAAGAGAAATTCTAGAGCTACAGGAGATAAAATGTTTGTGGAACGTCTCTGGTATTTAAACGTGGGTGTTTCATTTGCACAAATATTGAGCAAGTTAGGACACATATTTTCTGTACATGTAATTCTCAATGTGCATAATGTTAGGTATTTGAGGGAAGGGTCATTATATACTTTAGTACCACTGATAATGCTGATAGTACAAATGTACACATAAAATGTTTACAGCAGACTACTGCTTAGGCCAAATAAAAAAAAATGTGTTTCCACGTTACAATTATAGTTGATACTTTTTTGCAATTTTCAAGTTAAAGATACTATAACTTCCTACATAAACCTATACAAAACAGAAAAATAACTTTTTTAATTACCTACCTACCTTAATTTTTTTCGAACATGTAAAAATAATAGTAAACAAATATGTTTTTTGTTTGACCTTGAATTAAATTTTTATAAGAACTTTGGTAATATTTTAAACAGTCAGCCGTGAGGTGTAGGATTCTCTGACAGATTTTGAACCCTATTGTGCGTGTAGGCGTATCTTTGACTCCTGGCGTCGATGGCAACGAGTCAGGCCTTTAACTTTACACAAGGTGTTCACATAATTGTATAGATATTGTTTATCTCCGAGTTACCTTCGGTGAAAACTATTTTTTATTCCCATCAAATCAATTTTTATCACATGTGTAATATATTAAACGGTAGCAGGTGATCTATACATTCAAAAAGTGACCTACATGCATTTTTCTTTAAAAAGAATTTACTTCTATGTATACATAAAGGATTTAAATGAAAATCAATAACCAAGACAACAAATGGTGTTGTGTGTTGAAATGTGAGTTATTTCATATAACTATGTGTGCTTTATCACTGAAAACGTCTGTATGTGGTGATACAAATCTAATTTTCAGCTACAACCTTTCAAACGAGTCAAAACACTGCTGGAGAAGTTATCCAGATAAATTTCAAGGAAACAGAACTGTTGTGATTAACTAGGTAACAATAGGAATTGCATATATTACATCCACAAGGCACTGTACAGTGCTGTAAGTACTAGGTCTGGAACAGTACGCATACCTCGTGGTATGATACGTATAACGGCGTGATGCTTAAGATTCAATTAATACGTACCACGGTATACGTATCTGGTCAAAAGGTCAACTACATTGATTGAGTGCAGTTTCGTCATAGACTTAATTATATGTGTATAGTAAATGCTGTCAGAATATATTTTTGTATGATTTTTATTACTTTTGCACAGTGGGCCACACCCTTACTGAAATACTCTAAAACAATAAGTAAACTCAGAGTTAAATAAAAAAAATAAAAAATTTTGGTAGCCTTAGTGATACTGACAAACAAATCAATTTGATGTGATACATGTACATGAGAGATGATCACTATAGGATACGATACATTGTTACTGCCCTCGTGAGTACTGTTTGTACATTTGACACTGTACAATGTGATATGTACACATGGGATACTGGTTAGTTGGCCTCAAGTCAATAGAAGTTTATTAGATCAATCTCAACTTATTTTCACGAATATTAAGTAACTGCTCCATTTATGTATAAAATAACTAACTGTAATAAAAATCTAGATTGAAAGATTGGTAATTTTATAAAAAATATTTGTAAACTCAGAATTGGCTTCTCAATGATGTAACAAGTACTTACTTGCTTTGACAATCAATAAATGAAAATATTTATTTCTGTGCATTTTAAATACATCAAGATTTTTTTAAGTTGAATGTATTTTCTATTATTACACTTTGAATAGAAATGGAACAATTTTGCAATAGATTCAAAATTCAATGTTATTTTAGAATGTAAAGAAAAACAAACAAAGTGCAATTGAATGGAATTGCTCCTCGGGTGTTTGTGGTAGCTGTTTTATGTTTTGTACTACATTTGTATGTATCCATCTACAAGTTTGTACTCATACAACCAGGACATAACTGTGTACTAACTGCCTGGGCCCAGGACAAGCATGGACATATATATTTCTTTTGAAAATGTGTAATGCTCCATTTGGAATTTAAAAGCCTCTATTCACTGAGTTTACACTTCAAATATACCAGTCTTCAATTACTATGCAATGTCATTGTTTTTTAACCAATGTACAATCTTTCAACAAGTTGAGACAAATTTTCCTCAAAATTTGCTGGATTTTAATTCATAGATCCTGCCGACAAGAAAACTGCACTTCAATCTTGTACCAGTACTTTATAATAGAATAACCTAGCCATTGTTTCCTGATATTCGGGTGGCTAGAAGCATACAAGAAAAGGTTTGCGGCCGATTAAACAGTCTCCATGGTATCTTTAAATGGACATTTGGAATGGATAACAATAGCCCTGTGTCAGCAGACCCGGCTAAGTTGATAACCTTACCTGTGTAGTCACAGATCATGAGCTTGTATGTGTATATATATTAGAAATAAACTGCATAGATCTTTTGTTTAAGATCATTTTAATGTTCTGCATTGTTTTAGGGTACCACATGCGGCGATTCCTGATGACAATAGATATCTATTAAACCTTATCAATTATAATTTAGATGGGGATCTGATAGCACACTAAATGGACATGCCTTTGTCTGGTATGGCGAGATCTGTTATAGCTGATTTAACCTGAATGACAGGAGACACAACAGGCTGTCCATATCTAGATTATTTGATAGCTACGGATTAATCGTCAGAAATTAAACCTATTTATTCCTTATCATTTTGAAAAAGAATAATCATAACAAATAAATGTGGAAATATGATGATGCCTGCCTTGATATTTCATTAACAAGTCTGCAGAACAGATCAGAAAATTTGATTAAATTTGTATTTTAAACTACTGAGCTGAATTACTCGCATTTTGCTTCAGATAGTTTCCTGGGAATGTTTTTCTTTTCAGTTACTTTTTTAAAGTTTATCACAAGATTTTTTGTTTAAATGAACTTCTCACTTGTGATCGAATTAACACTTTTCAACTTGGACTTTGAGACATGACCTCTAACTTCTTGTACAACATTTTTCCGCCATTAACAACATTGTGTAAGCATGAAAAAATAGCATTCCAATCAGTTTAAAGGGGTAAGAAAATAAAAACCTTATCAATCAATGAATATCTTCTTCTACAGTAGTATCAAAGTTTACCATATTCCGTCTTTGCGTATTGCAGAGTTATCTTCTCTTGGGAGCAGGTGTTGATTGTTACGTCATTGGTTTGTGTGAGAAAATTACGTCGTTTTCTCAAAAATTGATGACGTTACTCTCACAAACAAGTGACGTAACAATCAATACCTGCTCCCAAGAGAAGATAACTCTGCAATACGCAAAGACGGAATATGTGACTCAGAAAGTTATCATAAGACATGTTATGTTAAATCTGAGTTTGGTAGTACACTAATTGTATATGATGTAGATACCTGTTATATATGCACCGATTCCTGCAAAGCAGAATTTTGAGTCATGTATTATGTTTTTATGAATACCTGTACACTAATGTATATTGTGCTCCAGGAAATCTTTTGTAATTGTTTGAAAATTGTAAAAAAAATTAAAAAAATAAAAAAAAAAATACCTGTATGCAAATGAAGAGAATTAGGAAATAATTACTTGAGATTACATACCTAAATCAACAGGGTACTGCTGTGTGTTCACGTCTAGGATCAGGTCCATCTTGAAAGACTCGGACTCGCAGAACAGTCTGGAGACTGCAAAGACAGAAAAAAAGAAATTGTGAAAATACAACCGACTTATAGGCACACCTGGATACTGCAAAGACTTAAACAGTGAAACATGCATAAATCAGTGATCAGTACCAAAACTTGTATACATTCCAAGTATTGAATTAGGCTAGAATGTCATTAAACATTCTTGTTTTTCCCCTTAGGGAAATCATTGCTTACTGTAAGGACAAATCTACAGCTAAGGAATGTACAACCAGGGCCTATAGTTACCATGTTACACAGGCCAAAAGTCTCACACTATCAAGTCTAAAGATAAAAATGATCGACCAAACTTCCGTAATTTTTTACTTCAACATAAACAGATTTGTCAATTGTTGACAAATGTGCTCCATTGACAACATGTTACCGGGAAAATGATGCACAATGATTACCCTTCAAACAAACATGTCCTTTTACGAAAAAATATCTCTCTGTCAGCATTACCACATTGAATTAAGTCCAACACTATGACTGACAATACATGAAAAAGAGTTAAACACAGACAAACAAGAAACTTGGGACACAACATAAAAAAGTAAGACAAAAAACATAGAACATGAAAATGTCTCTGGACTTTTATTTCAACAAGTGAGCATGTTTATCGAAAGTGTTTCAATTTTTTCTAAGTTTGCCTCGCATATGTGATTATTGGTGATCTGTATTGACATGTTCAGTCACCATAGGCTGGGCTATCTACCTCACTCTACTAATTAAGTCATAAAGCTGGTACATCTGAAAGTCAAAGTTCACTCACATATATGTCTCAAATAACCGAGATTTACTCTTTGGCCAGGTGTGATAGTTTTATATTACCTAGATAATTCTATTTACACAGGTCAGGTCACACCTTTCAGTGAACTGTATGTGTGCACATGTAATACATGGTCACAGTCTGTTTACACACCTGTATATAGATATAGGTCACAGCATACACAAATCACTAACTATTGGAGTGTCCGACCTGGTTTATACTTAATATTTATCATTCTGCACATAACAATAATTGTGAAAACATCCTTCTAGATCAATTATTATTAAGAATAAAAATAAGTTACAGTTACAAAAATAATACTGTAATGTCAAAAATATGTGTATTTCTGTATCTTATTTGAGGTTGATTTTACTTTTTGCAAATCATTACATTTATACATGCACGTCCTTAATTTAATAATAGACAGTTGTTGTACAAGCTCGGATTAAACCTCTTGTAGACCAGAAATTATACTTAAGCAGCTTTTTCAATAATTTAACCTAAACATTATTGTGTGTTTTTGGATTTACCCTTGTAAAAACTTCCAGTATGTTGGTAGGGGAAAACCTCAGTTATGTATTTTATCTTAAGATATAGCACAAGAAACTTAACTTTCACCGTGCTTGCTACATTTTGGAACTTTTTTTTTTATTTTTTGCTACATTTTGGAACTTAGCTAAAGTAATGTACTTGTGTTCAGAGTGATGTTATTTATTTAAGAATTTTAGTTATTAAAACATTTACCTACACAAACAACTTTTCATTAGAAATTCAATATCTTCTGAATAATGATGCAAAACAAATAGATTTAATACATGTACTGGTAACTAACCAATGAATATACAAACACATTAATGAGAAACTAAGGTAATGTATTGAACAATAATCTATTTGATTTTTGTTTAATTACATTCAACATTTGAAACGAGCTCGAGCTGTACTAATAACAATAGTGTACTAATAAAAAAAAATAACTACTTTCTTTGCAAAATAATTTTAAAAAATCAATGAAAAAAATAAATAAACAGAAAATGTGGCATAACCTGAACAATTTATTATTATCCCTAGCTAAACCTTATAGAAATATCTTTTACTGAACATGTTTCGACTCCATAAGATAGACTGGCCGGTACCTGGTTTGTATGTGTATTCCATACCTAGGCAACCCATGCTGCAAGACCCAACATGTGAAATTTGTACACAGAAAAAAATGTTAATAACTTCTTGGAAAGAGCAAAAAAAAGAAACAAAGTAAAGTAGTAACATAGGAGAGCATCAACATATGTTCTGTGTGCAGTTTGATTATTGAAACTTTAAAATTTCACCATGTTTAATTTGTCGACTTACAAGATTCCATTCTTTTGCATGTCCCAGCCTGCCATTAAATACAGTGCTGAATAATATCTGGCAGGTAGACATTTTAGATATTTACAAAATAATTCAAATTCAAGTCACAAATGAAACAGTTGATAATTACTCAAATATATCTAGAAAGGTGCCAATTCCTAATCACTGTTAAAGCATATTTATCAGTTACTTGATAACATTCAAAATGACAAGACAGGCTCACACATGATTTACCAGGTATTTTTTTCTGTAGCTTTCATTTCTTCAAAACCGATCGTCAGTCCACGCTGGAAAGTTGTTCTCGTCCTTCGATTATTTCTAGATTTGCATTCATGTCAGAAGTCTCCATTTTCGGCTCTGCCATGTTGCCGGTTGTAAAAATCTTTGAAGACATACCAGCTCTCCCGTCCCGACAAGATGTATGACTCGGTCAGTGTTACGCCTTGGTCTGTCAGAAACGTCACGATCCACGGGGGGTTTTGTAGGGCTTTTGAAGTCCGGGACCAATCAGACAACTTCAGTGTTGACAAGTTTTGACAAGTCCGAAAAGTACCGGGTACTCACTCAACAGTGCAAAACCGTATTGATCGTATTACTACTGTTTTTTGTGTAAAAAGATTGTCAATTTAATTTATCATGAGAAGATATCATTAAGTTAAGATCTTAATTAATATAAAATAGAGGCATGCACCGTTTTAATTTTAGATGTCGTGTAGTTCAAGTAACCACATGTTCCCCGGTTCTTGTAGTTCTGGCGTTGATGAACTGCTGATCGACTGATTTCAAAATCAAATATATTCTACTGTATCACAAGCTGAAATTTTAAATTATCACAGTTTACTTTAACTCACCTCTGTCAAACTTTTTCCCGTCAGGGTCAATATCTTTTACGTCGAATATATCTTCGAATAGTACACCCGCCATTTTTTCTTGAAATCCGGCGTGACCTCACAAGTTTTTGTCACTTACTTGGAACAAGTAAACCTAAAATATCAGCCTTGATAAGCAGATATCACTTAATGTATCTTTAATAGTCACAGCTTAATCTAAGTGGTTCAACAGAAATAGCTTAACAAATATAACGAGGACAAACTTTTATTAGCAATCAAATCACTCCTGACAGGAAGTGATTTTATGTATACTAAATGTGGTTTTACGTGTCAGAGAGTCTATGTAGGGGAAGTAACTCGATCGAGTGCGCAGGTTCCAACTTGTTGCGTACCATGTTATACGAATGTTGAAATAAAGACTTCCAGAGCATATACATATATTTACAATTATATACAAGTCTATTTGGGATCAATATATATTGTAGATATAAAATAAGGCATGCTTAATAATGTATTTGGCATGGATTCAGCATGGGCGACAACGGATGTATGCCGCATTTATTGAATTGTATCGAATTCATTTGTATGATATCTTGTATCCTCTTTAAGTTATATTAACTTGTTTCTGGATCCTATTTCATGTATGTGATAATTGAATGTTCTGTAAATTGTAATTGCAAATTTACGAAATAAAATATGGTTCATACTAAGTTATATTAACCAATTTGCTGTCGGATATCACATCAAACTCCTCAATTACAGCCTTCCAGACCTCAATAGGCCCATTTGTATTACAGTATCATTTCAATTGTTTAATTTATAGTTTCCGATACAGGATCTGTATGATCATCTACACCGGACTCCAACATGTTTAAAAATACATACATGTATATAGACGTATGGAAGTTCGGGTATGGACATCACGTGTTTAACAAAGTATGTTAGCTCTGTACTATGATTATATTTTAGTTCCTAAACAAACCAATGTTTATCGAGTCTGTTTTTAAATGTTTGTTTTGAGTGGGGTTGATATCACATCTTCTGGAAGGCTGTTCCATATTTTTTTCTAACCGTAAGGAAAACAAGATCTTCCTTATTTCAATGTTTGACTGTTGTGGATAAAGGTTTTTGGAATGTCCCCTTGTACCATGTCTTTCGGGAAATTTCTGTCACAATTTAAGGAAATCCGACGCTTTTCGAGCTCATGCACTACTCCTTCTCTTGAAATATTTTCTCTCTCTTTAAATTCATTTATTCCCTAACATTTAAAATGCCTTCTTACCCACATCTCCGGCTAGATGAAGGTGACACTTATTTTTTTTATATGTAAACTGTTTTAGATTCTCTGGTTTATAATTATGACACAGGGAAAATATCAATTACAGGATTGAGTCTCATTTACAGTAAGTATTACATCTTTGATTGTGGATTACAGCTTTCACAATGCTGTGACGGAGTATACTATTGTACATACTTACTCAATTTACTATGACAATTTCTACATTTATGATGCAGATTATAAATTAAGGTATTTGTTTAAATTATATATTTAATATTGCAATGAAAATTTTTCCCGATTGATCACGATAATATCTAGGGACACGTAGTCCATGAGCATGACCTTAGCGCGAGTTAATGTAACCTTCGTGTATGTCGGCTTAATGGTAAAACAAAATATCTGGTTTACAGCACCGATAAAAGGCGACTAAAATTGTATGCATACTACCGAATTAAACTACGTGTACCAAGATAACAATCAAAACTCTAAATGGTCGTTTTAGCCATATTTAACGACGCTCTGTATAAGCGCGATCTACCACTGAACACACATGAGCGGATACACAACTGCGATCTAATACTGCTGAGATAAGCGCTATCCACAGAAATCTCACAAAGAATGCAATCTTTAAAAAAAGACTATTGTATGTTAAACGCAAACTTATAGCCCCCACCGTTAAATATATATATGTATTAACGATATTGCTTACATATGGTTTCATATCAATGGGATCATTAAAATAAATAATTAAAGATGTATAGAAAAAATGCATTTTTTTCATCATTTATACTCTCTCTCTATATGACATCACATACAAGAGGTGCAGGAACAAGACTAACCTTTATTAATAGCTCACCTGGTCTTATTTATATAAGATACGTCAAATGTGATACAGGTACATGTAAAACAAAATCGTTAAAGATCTAAATAACCTAGGCAAATTTTTGCATTTAAGTACAAAACGACGAAATAATATTGTTTAACTTAATATAATACTGCATGTTCTGTATGTTATACCCACATACATGTATATTGTGTTTTAATAATCTATGTTATGCATTGTACACTATTGCATCAACTGTAATTTGTGTTATACATTGTGTTATCTTGTACATATGTATGTCTACTCTCCGATGTGTTGTAAACATAAGGAAATAAAGAATCTGAATCTGAAAACAATCTTTATATCAAGCCCAAGTTAGACCGGGCCCCTCTCCTCACAGTGTTATCACGCACTGGTCGTTTGGGTCATGGATTCTTTCTTTCAACCACAATTAGTATACTGATCGGCCATAATGAAAGGAGCTGGCATTGGAAACATATTTGTGCGTCCCTATGGCAACGCTTTAGACTCAAACCTCAATTAGCTGGTTAAATAAACTTTGTTTCATTCCACATTAAGTTGCATGACACCACATAACACACAAAGTACAGAGGAATGGGATCCGGAAACAAGTGGAAATAACTTATATAAATCCGTTTCCGAGAATTTATCTCGTTAAATTAAGACATGATGGCATAGTTACTGAATTCTATGGAATGAAATATAAACATTTAAAACAGTAACTTACTTTTAGCTGGTTATATCCCGGTAGCATTTTAACGATCCCTGTACCAAAGCAACGATCTCTTACCACCTACGGTTGCTTTTAATCATCCCTATCCACTTAGAAACAGAGATTATTTTGATCGTTCCAAATCATAGACTTTCTTGTACACGCTCTTCTTTTTTACCATCAACGTTACTTTCTTGGAACGGGTTAGACGTGGAAACAAGATCTTCTCCTTCGCCTTTTACTTTTAAATCTGCTATTTCACATCCAGTTAATAAAAAAGCACCATCCTTCTACAGTTTTGGAGAAAGAAAATTTAAGATATTGCATACATACTGAAGGTATAAATGCAGTCCGTTAAATTATGACCTTTTTAGAGTAAATCGGACTGAGAACTCTGAATTTAATGTATTTGTGGAAACCCCTGTGAGAATGCCTACCACTTCTTTTTCATATGTCCTCGTTATAATATACAAAGACGTACTCTTCTTTCAAATATAGATGATTTAAATCTGGATGTTGTCATTGATATACATTTATTGATCATAGGAAATGAAAATCTGTCGGTAGAAGTAAACACTTCAATTTTTAGAAATGTGCAAAAGTACATAAAATCCAGCCAAAGATTTAGGTAATGTGATATGACATTAACTCATCATATTTATATCTGTTGTATTATTTCATTTATTGTATGAAAAATGGTATTCATTGTGATCAAATTATGCTATTTCTCAATGTATGTAAAATTTATTGTGGAGAGGGCCTTTATAATGTTGATATAACTTGTGCCTAATCCGCTTGCTTCATTTATGCAATAAAATATGTTTAAATAATAAAAAAAAATACCAAAGCAAAACACTTCTCATATATGCATTGGAAACTGTTTTTCAAGACTTTAGCTTTGATAAGTCATTTTGAAAAGAAAGGCATACATTACGGGACATTTATTTTTGAAAAAAGAATGGAAATAAAATAAACAAAATATAATCAACAATTGTGTTCGGGGTGCAAAAAAAAAGCGAGAAAGAAATTCGAACCCCGAACCTCAGAAATGTCAGGACTCAATTACAATGCATATTATATCCAAAACGAAACCAAGGGGAGGTCACTGTTGAAAACGACCTAGTGTATTTGTCTGCATATATATACAATTTATACTCAAACGGGAAAAAAACGTGAATTCAAATTTAACGGCTAATAACATATTTTTTTTTTATCAATATGGGAACATTCGCGTATCCGGTTGAAACGGTATGTGTGGTGCAGAAATATTCCGCGATAAGCAGAGCTAAAAACGCACAGTTTCGGAGAATAAAAAACAATGCACCACGAATAATATGCCCGACTTTCATCCGTCCACTGAATTACATAACGTATCTTAAAAACTATCGGGGTTCATGTGACTTGACATTGTTTTAGAAAGAAATAACAAAAAATGGCAATAGTCATCAGTTTAGTTTCGGTCAGGTACGTCTGGACCCCTCAATCTACACGTGCCAACTTTTCCTGAGGTCAGCCTCGGTCCAGATCTGTGCCTGTCGTTTTCTTTACAGGTTCAATCGGTTCAACCGTTTCAACCGGATACGCGAATGTGCCCCTAGGTCTTAGTTTTAGATATAATAGTTTTCTTTGACTATTGGTCTTACTGTCTTCTGTATATATATATATTTTTATATAAAAAGGGCCTTGATTACACCGTCATGAAATGAAGTAATCTAAGTTAACGTTATTTAAGTTAAAATGGTGGCAATTGTGAAGCAGTTCCCTAATATAGCGTGCGTCCTCCACGAACAACTATACAATCTGTAATCCTGCATTGCACATAGTTCATAATGGAATTGCTTGTTCGTATTGAAATGTAATTCCATTCCTCGACAAGTGCGTTGTGGAGATTGTGTTATGGCGATTTCAACCTCTCCTGTCCAGTTCATCCCACGAATCTGGGGTCTATGGATGCCGGTCAACAATGACGATGCTATGTATTGCAAGGAAGTCTCTTCAGTCTCTTGCAACGAATGCCGTTGCATTATCTTGTTAAAGAGTTAGACGATGGCTCCTACCTAAAGGCACATCATATCACCTTGATGGCAGGCAGCCGTAAAATTCGACCTGAAGACTGCTAAAGGAGTTTTCAACCAATTGTGAATTCCTCCACAAATTAACGACCACTATAGGTGTCTTAAGACCACGGGGAATTCTTCCACAAATCAACGACCACTAAATGTTTTTCCAGACCATGGGGAATTCTTCCTCAAATTAACGACCACTAAATGTTTTTCCAGACCACGGGGAATTCTTCCACAAATCAACGACCACTAAATGTTTTTCCAGACCATGGGGAATTCTTCCTCAAATTAACGACCACTAAATGTTTTTCCAGACCACGGGGAATTCTTCCACAAATCAACGACCACTAAATGTTTTTCCAGACCATGGGGAATTCTTCCTCAAATTAACGACCACTAAATGTTTTTCCAGA